ATCTGACAGAGTTCTTCTGACTTTCTTTGGACAAAACCAAACTACTGTTAAAATTAAACTTGAAGGCTGGACCAGTGATGATAATGAATGTGGTCATTTGAAGTTGGTTTTCAGAGACTTGGAGGTGTCAGTGGACGGGCTGCTACAAGAGTGTCAGTTAAGACAGAAGGAAGCAGTTTGGTCTTCAGCCATAAGTTGGATTATCTGCATCAGTCTCGTCCTCTTCCACTGTGTTATCATTTTACTGACATGCAGAAAATCACTTTTAAGGAGAAGACAAGAAACACAGCAGAAACCAACAGAAACAAATGTTGACGCAGAATCAGATTCTATGATGGCAGATGCAATGTAGAGTTCTGTGAGGCTGCAGCTGAAATGTATCTTTGAACACAAGGAGACAGTATCTGAATTTCACTGATCATTGGTCATTTTATGTTCTTGAGGTTTGCAGTCGATTGTATTTGATTTTACTTTTAAAGCTTGTGATAGGTCAGGGCTTTTTGTGCATCATTGACAAACATTATTTTTTTAATTAGAAGCATGGTGTCTGAATGGATCATATTTAGTAATCAATCAACTACATATTGAGGAAAGATTGACTTATATCACTATAATAATATAAATCATCCTCGCTCTTAGCTTGGGGACATTATCATAACATTGGATTCATCGCTGACATTGTAGAGATATTGGACACGATCAGACTTTATGTATTGAATGAAAATAAAGGAAATATCTACTTTACCAGCAACCTGCAGTTATTATTACAATATTATTAATTACTTTATATTGTGCTTTGATTTAAATGTTTTGGACATTTTTAATGTATCTTAACTCATCCAGCTGTTACTGTACTCAAATGTTTCATAATGATATCAAATCATGTGTCATTTATTTTAATTCCTTTCTCATTTATTCTTGGAAATAAAACCATTCAAATTATTATGTGTGCTGAAGATTCATTTTAAATGTCCTTTCTTCTTTAATTCTTACTAATAGTTTGGGTAAAGTAAAAATACAGCTGCATGAAGAGAAAAACTCTTCAGAGGTTTTTAATGCAAATAATAAAATCTGCCTCCAAAAAACCCACACCTACATGAATTATTTGATATCACAAAATCACATAATTAATTTAATTGCCACTATGCAGAAACAGCTTGATTAACAATATCATGAGGAAGAATCAGTGTTTAGCTGACTTTAAGGACCCGAATATTGTACTTAATGAGAGTATCTTACTCTTGTTGAATTAATAATACATATTGTAAATAATTCCCATACTAACAAGAACACTGAGCACCAACAGGTGAATGTTGGTTAGCTTTAAAGCCTGCACTATAGAACTGATTTTACTGTTTAAGCTTTTATCATTTTGTCAGCCTCTGCTTGGCATCTGGAAATGTGCACATGCCTCTGTGATTATCTGACACAACGAAAGTAACATCACATTTCTGCTCCAGGTCACCGGAGATGGTCACTACTCACAAATCAAAATCCACTAAAACACTGAGCCCGTTTGGCTCCAAGGATGAAATCAATCTTTTATGTTCATGTGGTTGAAAAAGCAGGAACAGAAACATAAGCAATCAGTGGCAGATTACGAGAGTCATGGGCCCCTAAGCTACCGTTGTTGTGTAACAGATTTTATTTTTCTGGCAGAGAAGTATGGAGCCAAACAGCAAAACCTGTATTGATTTGCAAATGTATAGACATTTGTAAATGTGTCAACAAATCTGTGAATGAAGACAAACATTAATGTCAACACCTGCAGTGAAAACTGAGACTGCTCGTTCGTTTCAAGCAGAGAGATTGGAGTTGGCATCACATTCGGCCTTCACTCCACCTCTCGGGGGTAATTATTAAATATATAAAATAGTATATTTTAAATGAGAATTAGTTTTACTTTTCAAACATATTAATATTACTTCATATTAAATTAACCACAGAATTGTTTTATTATTTTTCCTAAAAGGATGTGGAGATAGTTCAGATGAATCTTGATTATAAATTACAGATTTATCGAGCTTGTTAAATAACTAAGGCATTAAATATAAGGGATTTATGGATAACATGCATGGATAATGATGGTATATGCATGTTTATCACTAACACATGGCTTCTTTCCAGATTGAGCTCTCTAAAACCCCAAACTGTGAGTGAAGAGATGCCTCAAAGCTCTGCAGAGGTTGTGACAATATTTTCATTTCTAATGTTAAAATTTGAAATGTTGATTTTTACAGAATACTCGAGCACATTTGAGAATTAACTGTTAGTTAAAGCCAACTTTACAGAGTTAAGACTCTACTGAACTTAAAACTGAAAATAAAGAGAACACAAAATGTTTCAAGATCCTGGTGCTTTATTTTGCTCAATTCTGACATTAACAACATGAGTGAGAAGCAAAGACAGAAGGAATAAAAAACAAAATATGACGATTTCTGATACAGAAAATACTGTATGTATTTTATGGATTGAGGATGAACATCAAACAGATTTACTCACCAGTGTTCTGACTTGCTTCTGAAATTATAATGAGCTGAATATTGACATTGTTGTGTTTACCAGAAACAGCACGAGCGGTTGGTGGTTTAGTCTGAGTTTGAAGTTTTAGGCCGTATGGGCTAAAACTACCTGGAAATATGTCCCATCATCTGAAAACAGCATACACTGAAACAAATAATAGCTGGAGAAACCAAAATAATGCCACCGTTTCTCTTAATCATCATTTAAATCCACACTGGGTAAATACGGTCAGAAAATGGAAATATGTTTAATCAAAATAAATATTTATGAGCCACAGATGCTGCATCATGAAAGAAAACCATTACATTTCAAAAACTGCCTGAAATTAATCCAACATCATATTAAAAAGAATGCAACCATGCAAAAACTGTATCTTGACAGGAGTTTACTCAGAATGTACTTTTACTTTCAGGCCAGAAAGTAATTCAGAAAATAAATTCTCTTGTCAGTTTGTAAGAAAAAACAAAGACGAATAAGATCAAACATCCTAAGAATCCAGTTTAATAACCATGGAATGATTTTTAAACCTGCAATGAGTCGACCACAGTTTGTTACATACAAGCAGATCAGTTCCGATATTTGAGAGTTTTGCACTAATCATCATTTAAAACCGAGAAACAAATCAGTCGGTTCTTACTGGAGGAGTTCCTCAGAGCTCAGTATCAGGCCCATTTTTGTTATGTTTTTTACATAAATTAAACATTTATTTCATTCAGTCTTTTCATTAATATTGTTTGTTTGTGTTTGTTGGGAGTAATTGTATTTCCATCGTTTACAGACCAAAATTCATTACATGTCAAATATAGTCTTCCCTGCATCCATAAAATATAACGTTTTACCGTGACAGTAGTTGAAAGAGAAAGAAAAAATACATCATAATTACAACTGTAATTTCTTCTAAAAAATGGCTCAAAATACAAACAAACTTGGTACGTTGTCAAACAAAGAGCTGAAGTAATTCGATTCATCTTTAAGGGATTTTGTTTTAGAAAATTTGCTGCTTTTCTTTTTCTTTCTGTGACGTAAACTCAATATGTTTTGAGTTTTGGAGTCACGTTCGAACACAACAAGCAGTCCGATATCATTTTTGATGAGAAACTAATTGACTTACTAGAATGAGAATTACTGATAACGAAAAATCATTGCCTGTTGTTGTACTACTGAATATCTTTTGGACTGTAGTTTGGATTAAAAAAAAACCAGACATTTGAGTAGTTCCTCAGGATCTCACAGGCTGCAAAAATTGTTTTAAATGTTTTTAGGGATTATTTTTCAATGAAAACTGAAATGAGTGAAGTGAAACTTAGTGAAAATAGTGAGAATAAAAATCAAATACAAACAACTACAAGGATCGGTCAAATTTGCAGAAAAGTTGTGGTGATTGGAGATTGTGCAGAATTCACAGGGATTGGTTGAATCTGCGGTAACTGTTGCGATCGCAACTTCCTGGAGGG